TCCCTCATTTCAGGGTTAACAAACTAAGAGTTTTCACTTAACCTCCTTATTGAAACAGGCCCCTGGGGCCTGTTTCAATAAGGAAGTTCAACCAACTCTGAGTTAAAACTTGAACTCTGAGTTGACTTATCCTGAGATTGAAAACTCTGAGTTTTGGGTTTCAGAACAGCTGAAATGAGTTAGTTCAATCAACTCTAAATTGACTGAAAACCTAGAGTTTCCCTCGTTTCAGGGTTAACAAACTCAGAATTTTCACTTAACCTCCTTTCTGAAACAGGCCCCTGGTCTCAAATTATAAGTGATCTTAACAAGAGAGAGCAGGAAATGAGCTATTCAGGGCATATATCATCATTTTCATTGGTTCTTGTTTTTTTTTGTGTATTAATGTTCAATTCTATTCAGTTTGTCGTTCAAATTCAGAAACATGTAAAAAGGGAAATGAAAATAGCAGCAGAGCCCCTTGGATCACCTATGGTAATGATACAATATAATAAATAATGTAAATAATGTTCACTCAGGACCAAAGTACTAACAGCAAAGCATATTTTAAAAATTAAGTTTGTGATTAAGTCAGAAGTAGAAAGTCAGGAGAACTGCTGTTTTCAGTGCTGTATCATGGAGACCTAGCAAACCAGCACCCTATAGAGGGAGTACAAAGTACTTCCCAGCAATACATTCAGATGGACAATTTACTTTCTGCTCCAGTTCTGACCAGCATTATTACTCTGATGCCTCCAGTACTCCCATTTCTCCAAGAAGGTTTTGTTCAGGAGCGATGCAAGATTTTCCTTTCTCTGCAAATCAGTCTGTGTTTGACTCATTAGATTTCAAATTTAGAGCTCGATTGTCCGTGAAGGCATAACTATAGTCCAAAACAATCTTATTGCTTAAACTTCTCTAAAGTTTCTTTTCTCTCAGCATATAGTTTGGCTGTAAAACGTCTTGTCAGAAAGCATCTGTTGCTGAATCCCAAAAAAGTAAAAAAACAGACCACTGGACTTTGTTTTCAGTGCGTTCCTCACTACATTGAAAAGTGCAGTGAGGAATGATGCTCTGATCTTTATATTGGAGAAACCAAAGAACCCCCACAGACGCATGGCTTAGCACAGGCGAACCAACTCCTCCAGACAAGCTCTCGACAACCTACAACACAGCAATAGAGTTGATTCCTTCCTGCTATCATCTCAAACCCAGGGGCAGATTTAGGAAATTTGGGGCCCTAGGCAAAGACATGCAGGGGGCCCTCTGAATGAGAAGACAACACATAAAACACACCCATTATAAAGATACAGAAATGTTTATAGAATAGAGATACATTATTTGTTCTACCTGTTTGGGGCTGAGACGCAGTTAGTATTATAAGCATTCTGACGACATTTTAGCCAAATGACTTTTTAAAATCAAAAACATAATTAATATGGACAAATAAGGAATAGTTGTATTAACCATACATGTAAACAGAGTTTTATGCCCCACCCCCCTTAAACCTCACAACATCTTGCCCTGGTCAGCCAGGCCAACAATGACCCTAATGACTCCTTTTTCAGAGGCATGGACCAGTATCGGGTATTGCAGGCCTTTTTTAGTTCAATTTGCAGGTTTTCTCAGCCATAACAAGGTTTTTGTTTGGGCCACTATATAAGCCTGGAACTCAACGCTAATCCAGACATTTTGAATTGAGAAAGCTTCCTGGATGGGAAGCAAAACCTCTTCAGACTTGGAAAACAAAGTCCAGTGGATTGTTTTTAAAATTTTTTGGAATGATTTTGACCTGGATGAGTGAGAATCTTCACCAGCATCTGTAGCTGAATGTTTTCTATATTATTTAGCAGGCACCACAAAAAAACAACAACAAAAAACATCCAGCTACAGCCAATTTTTGTCTAGAAAAAAAGGGAATATGACTTTGCTCTAAATTTGTATTTATTCGATTAACTTTGAATATAAATTGAATCCTCTTGTCTTGGGGAAATGCTTTGAGATGATATATGCTTTAAATTTATGCTATATGGATACAAACTTAACTGAGTTTAAAGAAACTACGCAACCTTTGACTAAAGAATCAGCTTAATTTGAGATTAAATGATTTTTTTCAGGTCAAAATCCAGCTCTTGGTGCGTAT